CAAAGCGTGGCTGGGATGACCTGGGGGGTGCAGGAGGACAAAAAAAATTAAATACATCGGGAGTTTTACCTTGTGGAGGAGAAATATCCAGAGGATGGAGCTCACCGATCACGGTGCATAGGGATAAATAGGGATAAATAGGGATAAATAGTCACTGAAGGCTGGAAGGGCCCTAAAACAGCCCAATATTACCCCAAATCCTCCAGCAATGTAGTTGTGAGTCTCCAAATCTGCAGGGCAGGACCATTTCTCCTTGGGAAGCTTCTCCACTGGGACTCAGGCAGGTTTTGCTCTTCTCCCTCATCACTCCCAGCCCCCATGGAACCCATTCCCAAGGTGTTTCTATCCACAAATTGCTTTATTTTTGACAAACCAGGCTCCAACTCAGGGGTTTTATTCTGTATTAAGTTGCTACATATTTTATTTTCTTGTTAATCCACGCAGCAATGCCACAATCATCCTTCAAACACATAAAAGGCTCCTCTCGCTGTACAACACTTTCCTGAACACGTGTTAGAGGTGGAAAAGGTACCATTAACACTTAAAAAAAAAAAAAATTACAAAGATACATTGCAAAAACTCAAAGGGAGGGAGAAAGTCAGAGTCTTAGTTCACATCGAGGTATAAAATTGATATTGCTGGTTTAGCCTGGGAGGAAAGAGGTTTTTCCAGGTGGTGGTGGTAACAGTGCCAGCCTGGTTTCACCAGGATAATGTGCTGGCACCACTGGAAGATGGATTTGGAAAATAAAATCCTCTTTATTTCTGCCTCCTCCTCCTCCTCCTCCTGTCTCCCTCCCTTTCCATCCAGCATCCCTTGAGATGCCCCCAACTATCCCTGCGAGTGCTATTTGGCATTTACAGCTACCCAGAGAGGTTTGACATCATGATTTCCTTAAAAATCCCTAATATTAGTGCAAATTAGAAAAGGGGGAGGGAGGGGGTGACGCCACCAGATGCAGGTTTGGGGAACACACGGAAAAATGCCATTTACTCCTGTGCTGTAAATCCACCAGGTCAGGGTTAAACCCCCCCAAAATCTCAGTCAACACTTTGGATTTACGAAAACTTCCCATCACCCGCGAATTATTGCAATAGAAATGTGCTTTTCTTAAGGGGAAAAAAAAAAAAAAAGAAAAAAAAAAAGAGGAATTATAACTGTTGGTGCTCTCCTGCCACCGAGCAGCGGGTCCTCTGTGTGGGTGTCCCCAGACTCGGCCCCAAATTCCTGCTCTGGAACACCTGTAGCCCTCACTGTGCTGCTCATGGATTTCCTCTCTCTCTCTCTTCTTTTTTTTTTTTTCCCCCTGTTTTTCCCTGTGTTTTCCAGGGATTTGAGGTTTTGGCTGAAGCTGCCACCAGCCAGAGCCTTGCTGGGAAGAGCCCCAGGTGCCGAGGAGGAACCTCCCGGGGACGCTGCGCAGGTGAAGGCACGGGAGGATGGGCTGGCTCAGAGCTGGAGCGATCCAGGCGGACGCTGGGAATGTGCTGGGAATGCTGGGGCTTTGGGATTTGGTACAGTACATCCTACAGGCACATGGCTCTGCTGAAGGGTCTCACATCGCAGTCGGACCTTCCGAGATCTCCTCCAGCCTCTGCTTGATCATCACCCGGAGGATGGTGTATCTGGAGAGGCACAGCACAGGGAAAGAGGAATTTTCAGCAGTGAGATGGCCAAGAAAACCCTGGAATGACACAAACCCCAATGGCTCTTGCACACATCAGGGGTGCAGGGCTGCACAAAGGAATTTCTGGGACCAAACAGCCCCCCAGCAATGTCCTTCCCTCTCACATCCCCCCTCGGGCCACCAGCCTGACGTACTTCTGCATCAGCTTCTTCACTTCACGATCCTCCTCCTCCTCCAGCTTCTGGATGAAGCTCCTGAGGATGGGCATCTCAAACTTGATGTACTGAGCGACCTGGATGGGAGAGGAACGGCAAGAAAGGTGATGAAGAGGGCGATGAACCCACCCTGCGAGGCCGAAGGCAGCGTCCTCTCCCTGGATTTTAGTCAAGGATTCCCCAGTTTTTGCAAGAATCCTAAAAAAAAGGGATGTTTCCTCTGCTCAGTGTGAACATTAACTCGTGCAAATGAGTAAGTGCTGGATAATTACCGGGACAATCTCTCCCCCCTCTCCATTAATTAATTAATTAATTAATTTTTATTTATTTATTTTAATTTACCCACTGGCTGGAAGACGTGGCTCGATCAGTCAGAGCCCTGAGCATCCCCAGCGTCGCAGAGAGCTGATTAAGCCCAAATATACCCCAAAAGTGCCTCGCTTGAGCTGGGATTTCGGAGCAGAGTAGCCCTGGGAAGCCGGCAGATGGCACAGTGGAGCTTTCCCGGCTGGAAAAACACCAATTCCGCCACAGGCTGCGCTGAAATCGCTCTCCCGTGAGCAGATTTGGGATGACACAATAGGGCCGGGGGCGTTGGCTCTGGGTTGGAATTGGAAGCTGCTCTTTGAGCACAAAACGAGGCTTTTCCCATCAAATGGGGAGTTTTCACGGCAAGATGCAGGAGCAAAGCAATTCCTGCAGTCCCAGCACATGGAGACATCCGTTCATCGGGAAGAAATTCTTCCCTGGGAGGGTGGTCACAAGCTGGGGTGGAATTCCCAGAGAAGCTGTGGCTGCCCCTGGATCCCTGGAAGTGTCCAAGGCCAGAACAACCTGGGCTAGTGGAAGGTGTCCCTGCCCATGGCAGGGGGTGGAATGGGATGAGCTTTAAGGTCTCTCCAACCTAAACCATTCCATGATTCCATGATTCTATGAGAAGGCAGCAGACCCAGCCTGCCTGCAATCTCCTCAACCCCAAAACACAGCCCTTCCTAAGAAAAAAATCCAGTGATGCCAATGTTGGAGCAAGTCCAGAGGAGGCCACGGAGCTGCTCCAAGGGCTGGAGCCCCTCTGCCCTGGAGCCAGGCTGGGAGAGCTGGGGGGGTTCACCTGGAGAGGAGAAGGCTCCAGGGAGAGCTGAGAGCTCCTTCCAGAGCCTAAAGGGGCTCCAAGAGCTGGAGAGGGACTGGGGACAAGGGATGGAGGGACAGGACACAGGGAATGGCTTCCCAGTGCCAGAGGGCAGGGAGAGATGGGATATTGGGAAGGAATTGTTGGCTGTGAGAGTGGGGAGGGGCTGGGATGGAACTCCCAGAGAAGCTGTGGCTGCCCCTGGATCCCTGGAAGTGTCCAAGGCCAGGTTGGAGCAACCTGGGCTAGTGGAAGTTGTCCCTGCCCATGGCAGGGGGTGGGTGGGTTTGAGGTCCCTTCCAACCCAAACCACTCCATGACTCTGTGATCCCCCAGTTTTCCCAAGCCCCCCCAGGAGCGACGACCCCGTGCCGGCTCACTCACGTCATAGGTGACCTCCTCCACCTGGTCCTTCTCCATGAGGAAAACCTTGGAGACCTGTTCACAGGGGCCCTGCAGCACACGGGCGATCAGGGGGTAGTCGCTGCCCCGCAGCTTCTGCTTCTCTGCAAGGCCAAAACCCTGGGGTTGGGCCCAGCACTCGGGGGGCACTGCCCAGGGCACAGGGGGCACTGCCTGGGACACGGGGGGCACTGCCCAGGACATGAGGGGCACTTCCTGGGACATGGGGTCACTGCCTGGGACATGGGGTCACTGCCCGGGACAGGGGGGGCACTGCCTGGGACATGGAGGGCACTGCCCAGGACACGGGGGGCACTGCCCAGAACACGGGGGGCACTGCCCGGGACAGG